TTCAATTTAAAGTTGTTCATGAATTTAAAACTATTCAAAAATTTAAACATATTCATGATTTTCAAAGTATTTGATTTTTTTCATGTAATTTTAAAATATTTTAGTCACATTATAAAATAGTTCATCTTAAAAAGGGAAAACATAGAAAAGCAAAATGATAAATATATAAGGAAAAGAAAACACGACATGAGTTAGAAAGAAAACAGGTAGAAGAACTGGAGAGAAAAATCAACGAAAACCACATTGCATGAACCATACATGACTCACTACTTGATATTCATGAGGATGCATATCTCACATTACTACTCATGATCTAACCTGTAGGTCTAAGAGCATCTCAATAGATGATGTAGATGTATAAATAAAAACTTTTACATCACTTAGGCCCAAAAATTAGGCTTCAACAGATGATGTAGATTTAATTAATCAATAATTAAGGGATAATCCTCTCTGTAACAAATTGCATGCAAGGTGCCAATATGGTCACTGTCACGGTGGTTCCCTTCATGATCAGACGCGTCCCTTATTTGGGTGTTCCAACTAGACCTGGGCATTCTCCGGGCTGGGCCGGGTTCGGGCTGGGCTTCACAAAGCCCGACTAACAAAATCCCAAGCCCGGGCCCGGCATGGTCCATAGCCCGGAGAAATGCCTATTTTTGCATTTTGAAAATAATAAATCACCTATTTAGGGGATAAATAATACAACATTGCCCCCATTCTTTATTTAAAATCCCTAGAATACATGTTTGCCGAGCTTTTCACGGGACTCGGGCCGGGCTGCGGGCTAGAAATCAAACCCCAAACCCGACCCGAAAGCCGGGCTTCTGTTCGGGCCTGCCGGGCCAGGGCACCCATGCCCAGGTTTAGTTCCAATCGTATAACTATCTTGATCATCCATGGAATAGATTGGTTCAATCATTAATTCACTTCGACTCACAACAGTTTCTAATGTATCGCTTGTTTTCGGTGTATACAAGACATGTTCAAAACATCATGATTCGAACTCCAACTAGAATACTTCATCACATATACTTAATGCTAAAAGCACCTTTCTTATGTATACCATGCATCGTGGAAAGCACAAAATACCAAAAAACTAATGCTATCACAAATTTTGATACCAAGCATTTGTTAGATATATGCCCTAGAGGCAATAACGGTGTATTACTAAATTCCATATTTATAATTAAGAATTTATATTCTATGATGTAACTACTATGATCCTGAAATGTGCGATTAAGTGGAAAGCTCATATGCACATGTGGAATGATAAACGGTAAAACCGGATTCCTAGTCTCGCCTCTAAGACTAGCTCAAGTGTTGTTTATAATCATGTTTTCCAGATCTTGAGATGTCATTAAGTGTAACAATAGTCTCAAAACAACATTGAGACTATGACGTTAAAAGAACGATCATATTGAATTGACCCAAACTTTGTAAACAGAGCCTACTACACCGATGGCTCTGAGTTAACTTATCAGGAGAAAAATCAGTTGGTCGCATTTTGTACTGATCTTGAGAATTACAATATTTATTATCAAACTCCTCCATATTATGGTCAATATGTGCCACTAGTGTATGTGTTGAACTATGCTAACATCTATGGAGATCTCATGGTAAGATTTTTAAATATTACAACATCTGTGCATCTTTTGCATAAATTCTTCTAGAACTGAACTATATTGCTAACTACGAAGTTATTACTATGTTTTTCAATAGATAATCCCATAGGAGTGTATGCCTCATCTGATGTTTCCGAAAGGTCACCTTGATGTTTTGAATATACAGCCAGGTCATCCTACTAATCGATCCTGTTCATATCGGATTTCTAAAAGCAATGGACATGACCATCAAAGATTGGAACAAATGTATGGCCACTCGGAAGGAAGTACTTGAAAGCAACATTAGGCGAAGTGCAAGAATTGAAGACAGGATAATCTCCATTCTCCATAATGAAGAGTCAGGGCCTATCTTGTTTTATGCTATTTTACCTAAGAGAAGGTAGTAGGTTCTAGCTAATACTCATGATCATGCGCGATCATGTGCTAAGAACAATTAAGTAGGATTGGTTAGATGACTATGATGATGATGTGGTTTGTATGATCGATGATGATGAGTAGGACTTGTTATTATGATACCAATGATGAGTTATTTATTATTATGATCGATGATGCATGATGCTAAGTTGTTATATGAGCATGATGAGTTATTATAGGTGAAATGAACATGGAATAGATTCAAGTGGAGGCAGCATGTGGTGCACATCGAAAGTACTACTAATCCAAACTAGATCAAGTTTGGATTAGTAGTACTTTCGACATGCACCACATGTTGCCTCCACTTGAATCTAATCCACGTTCATTTCACCCACTTTATATATAATAACTAATCATGGTCATAAAATCATATGATGAAAGTATTATATATAAAACCACAACGAAAATAAGCTGCAATTTAAAAAATACAGGAAAAGGTAACAACAGTGCTTTTCTATAGAAACGCTACTGCTACTTAGAACTATCAGCAACGCTTTTTAAGCACGGGCGCTACTGCTAACTAGGTATAGCAGTAGCGCTGGCATTCCAGCACTACTGCTAAGAGTTAGCTGTAGCGTCTTAGTAGTAGCGTTGGCACAAGCGCTACTAGTAACTCTAAAACCAGCACTGCTACTAGGGTTTTCCCTAGTAGTGCTTCCTGAGGCTGATGTTATTCTCCTTGAGACTCTTGATGAAATTCATAAGAACCGGATTGATCTGACTATATGAATTCCACTGCCTTGTCTCCTGACGACTTGCATACAGAGGGTGACTGCGCTTGTTACTGAATACATACCAACCATGATCCTTCATGTGGAGGAGCCGCATCCTCGCCTTGCACTCTGTTTTGTACTGAAAAAATAATACTATTTGTCTGGTTTACCCTGCACACCGCAAGCACAAAGAGACAACAGCAAAGCTAATGTCTACAATATAAATGCCAAGCGATTTCCAAGCACGAAAGAATCCAAACGCTTTAAAGATGGTCCCTCTTTCCTCCTATGATGTAAGAGGAGTATTTGATCTCAACCGTTTGTTGGTCAAGGGCAAGTCTGGACATGTAAACTTTCTCAACTATGTCAAGTTACTTGCTAAAAGGAAATCTTTTGAATGGATCAATCATTTCGCCCATATCGGTTTAAATTCTCATGATTCATCACATACACCAGACTTGTTTTTGGAAGAAGAAAATATATTCTTCCATAGAGGCCTCGATCTCATTTCTTGAAAGGTATAGTTAATTGTCATTCTCCAAGAACCATCATATACAGATATTTTTTCACACTTTACATTACTCCTTCATTCCCTTATACAAGGCCCGTATGAAAAATACATTTTGCATATATACAAGGTCATCAACATAATCGAGGCAAAAATTAATGATGTTTTTTCATACTAGCAACTTGTTTAATACTTGCATGCATGCAGTCATAATGACACTCTGCTACTTCCATCCCTTTCCTTCCTTGCATGAAAGGGTCGTAGTACTAATGATCCCGGTTAACTAAAAGAAAACTTGTCTTGTAAATCAGTCATTAAATTTTACCTTGGTAGTACTTGTAATCTGAGTTTGCAGCCTTGTATAAGGGAATAGAGGGAGTATCATATATTAAACCCCAAGAATCCGGTACCAACAGGTATAATCCTTGTATAAGGGAATAGAGGGAGTATCATATATTATTTGTATCAGCTCAAGAAATGATCATCCAAAAAGGTTGTGAGATCCAGTAAAAGATTAAACAAATATTAGTAATTTGACAAATATGCTATCCGGTTTACATGTGTGTATGTATTTTACGAACCTTTTGGCGCATAATCAAAATGGGCAAGAAAAATAAAGCTCAATCTGTAAGGATGTAACAGAGCTAAAAGTGGAAGATAAACATCAACATATTGCAATTAGTATAATGATATTTCTTTCCTTTTATTGTCTCACTTTAAGATGTAATCATTTAGTTCCTTATTTACTTAAAGTGCAAATTATATATTGACCTTGTAAAGGAATTAATAGATTCTTACCTGCCAAGAGGTAAGACACATTCGACCCATTGGATTAGGAAAAATTGATGGCTCATATTAACTTACCATCTTAAATTTGCTCATCACGAAACGAGGCAACAAGAAGTATGTAGTTCAACTGAACCTTCAAGAATTTCGTGCATCATGCTGGTAACGCCGTCCATGTCCCCATCTGGATTTTCCATGACATATTCTGAAAGAGAAATGTCAAACAGCTCCCGGGTGCTCCTACACCCTCATGATCAGTATATTCATATAAAATTGAAAAAAAAATGTGAAACTTTCAGGGATCAAAGATTATCAAAGGTTTGATGTTCCTGCAAAGTTTAAGCAACAAATAACCTTTGTGGAGCCCTCACAAAAAAAATCACTGCTCAAAAATGTACATAAACTTTGAACAATGATTTTGTTTTTTTATTTCAGTGCTCTTCGAATGTTATTTTTAGCTAAAATTTTGCAAGATCATCAAAAGTTTCATGTTGTTCCATGTCCCAAAGTTTCAGATTTTCTTTTGACTTTTTTTGAATTTATTTTGAATTTACTGTTCATAGAGGGTGTAGGGGCACCCGGGTCTGAAAAAAAAATCCTATCTCAGTCTGAAACCATTCTCCCAAGCGAATACGTTCTTACTATGGTAGGTTATACTGTTCGTACACTTCTCCCAAAAACCTTGACCCAACAAACTGACCAACTGAGCGACGACCACAGCCTCGTCGCACCAGGACGTTTGAATCCATTCCCTGGGAGCTTAGTACTATCGTCTAGACTGATGTGTGAATATCCCGATGAGGCCATGATCACCGCGATCACGCGCAGATTATGCGACGTTCACTAAGTTATTGCTATTTTAAAAAATCACCACACTACAATTCCATGAGAAAATTCTGACCCAGATGGCCAGATGAACGGATGAACTGAAAAATAATTCGCTTCTAATCAAGCTACTTATAACGAGTGCGTTACATCGAGCGTGATGTAGACCTCCTTAGTGAACTCGGAGTACTCGGCGACGAGCGGCGACTCCACGCCCATCTCCCCGAACCCGGTCTCGCAGGTGCCGGGGGCGCCCAACGCGCCGTTGACGTACGCCACCGCGTCCGCTTTGCCTCGCGGTGTGCCCGCCGCGGCGCCTTTAGCCGCGCCATCGAGCTCGTCCACGGCTTGCGAGTACAATTGGTCGCAGTCGTGGAGGGCCATCTGGATGCGCTTGTCCTTCTCCGAGGCCACGAGGGCGTGGATGCGCTTGATGATGCCGCTGGCTGCCGCTCCGGCGAGCTTCGACGCGATGACGGCCAGGCCGCGCTTGTCGGCGGTGGCGCTGTCCTTGCTGGCCTGGAAAAACTTGATGCAGTAGTCGTAGCCGATGGCCGGATGGCCGGCGGCGAAGGATTTGCACTCGTCCTCTAAGACGGAAGCCCTGGACGAGGCGACGAGGAAGAGGAGGACGAGGCAGGGGAGAGATCGTGAAGGCCCCATGGTTTTCGATGTGTTTGTGTTGGTAGCAGACGGGATTGTATGTACGGTAGATGGTATATATGTACAAGAACGTCGTCGAGATAAATGGGAGGAAAATTGCACACACTGATTTGTTGCTACAATGGTTTTTGGAGGGTTTGATTTCTTGCAGTAAATAAGAGCATAATTTATTTACTTCCAGAGATATAGAGGAATGATGCTTCCCTTCCTATCAGACTAGTCCACGATCGACCATCCGATAAGCTGTGCGCTGGTCGTCCGATTGGCTAGTGATTAAACTCACGCGCGTGATTTCTGGATTCAAATCGGTAATTGATTCGTGTACGTGCATGGCCATCACATTCTTTGAGCAACTTGAGAGGATTTGCTTTGATTCTACTCCCTCCATTCCGATTTACTCGTCGTGGTTTTAGTTCAAATTTGAAATAAATCAGAACGGAGGGAGTACATAATAACAGTTCAAACGGGGATTATGTTTCAGGCCTTGCCTATTCCACTCTTCGCCTGTTACTTTGCTAAGATTTAGACCTGCCTGTTGCATGCATGACAATGTCCCATAGCTCAAACTCGTCGCCCGGTATCCTAGCTCGACAAAACTCACTTACCCGGTATCCTAGCTCGACAAAACTCACTTACCGTTTGCTCCAAAATTTCCTGCTTTTCAATAGACCCTTAGCTAGTTTCCAGAGAGGTATCCTCTACAAGATTCAGAGCAAAGTAACAGCAGTACACATTTAAGGTCACAAATTAGATCATAACACATAAACAGCGCCACATGCCAAACTGATTTACTACATGTCACCAGTTCACAAGAAGCGACCAAGCAACGGTGAATCGCATCTTACAAAACCCAACATCGCAAATATCCTCACTTCTACCTGCTTTTCTAGGTACAAATCTTACTTGATATTTGGCAGCCTTGTCATCACCTTGCCAGACATCCACACCAAGTGTCAGCTCTCCATCCGCTTCGACAGAAACAACAGACCGTGAAAACTCAATTGCCCCATCTTTCGTAACAGGTACCATGCCATCCTGAGAATCAAGTAGCACCATCTCCAGATCATCGAGACTGGCCATACGTGCAGCAAATCGCCCGTGATGGCCAGTTGGCCAGGATCCCTCAACAACTTGCACAGCGATAGTAGCCTCCACTGTCTTTGCAAGATGGCCAACCGTCACCTCCACTGTGCTTAGCTTAGAAGAGTAGGTGTGGCAATGAACTCCTTGGCGGCGATCACCAGGAAGATAGTACTTGTCCTCGATGACTAGAAGGCTTAAGAGTTTATCTTCAGACGGCATGTCACCCTTCACTTTTAGTTCAACCTCGTAGTTGACAGGATCAACGATCACAACAGCACGACTTGGACCGGTCAACAATAGAGAGGCATCCTGCATTATGACGTTTCAAAGTAATCAAATTTGGCTTTCTAGTGGATAAGATAACCAAACATGAAAATTCAGTAAAATGTCACTTGCGTCATTGTTCTATAGTGAGAATGAAGACATTTAACATGAATTGTACTGATCATCATCCCTATGGAACAATAAAGTATCTCGGATGCCTATCGTTATTAATCAGACAGGACATAGCAAGCAACTAGTAACTAGATTGAAAGCGACAAATAACACCATGCACGATCTAATCTGTCTTAGAATTTGGAAGGAACCAAAACAAATCTGATAACAAGAATCATACCATTCAGGGATCTAATCTCTGTTAGAATTTAGAAGGAACAAAAACGAATCTGATAGAAAAATAAAGAGGGCCGTCTCTTTTTACATAGGACGTTTAGTTGCAAAAACATTCACATGATTGAGATACTGGGAATTTCCGCATGTTTGCCTCATGCGCTACAAATACAAAAAATGTTACGTTTGGTTACAAAAAGGCTACACTTGTTGTATTTGCAAAAAAGGCTACAAATACAACCAGGGCATGCCCAAAAGGCTGGTAAGCTGGGGGCGAGGTCTGATTGCAACAACACTAGTTGCCTCTTATTTGAAAACACAGCTACACTTGTGTTTGGTTACGCCCCACTCCGTACACCAATTTTTCTATATGGTACATATTGCATACCACAATAAAACATATATTTTCTGCAGTCTGCATGAAAAGGAATAAAATAGGCGGGCACAAATAATTCTGGTAGCTATTGATTATAGACTTGGATCCTTTATCACTAGTTTAAGAAAGAAAAGATCCACCTATGCGCTTGAAATGTATCAGAAATAAGCTGATTTCTGAACTATACTTCTTGCTTGATTTTTCTAGTGTACCCCTTGTTTCCAGTGTATACAGGACATGTTCAAAACATCATGACTCGAACTCAAACTAAAATGCTTCATCATAGATACTTAATACTAAAAGAACCTTCATTATGTATGTCATTGTACCATACAGCATTGTACTTCCAGTAAATTTAAAAAAATCGAAAACTACCATGCATCATGGAAAGCACAAATACCATACATCATTGTGCTGTCATAACTTTTGATCAAGCACCGTACATGTAGTGCTTGGATAGTTCAGTTATTATCAACATCTATCATACTAAGTCACTGTATACAGCATTGCTGGATGAGCATAGACTAATGTAGTACTCCCTCCGTCCCAAAATTCTTGTCTTAGATTTGTCTAAATACGGATGTATCTCTTGGTTAGTCCCATTACTATCACACCTAATTTTTTCCTTTCAGATAAGCATATATCATTTCCATTCTCTTCCATGCATGTTTGCACAGGCTCAGCTATCTGTGATGTTCGATTCAACCAAAAATACTGTATTTTGAACAACAAAAGTAATTATAACTAGTAGGGAGTAAGAGAGTTTGGTCATCATGTGAAAGATACCGATTTCAAAGAAGTTCGTCAGTTGATCTAACCGCGGAGAATTGGTAGTTGAAATATCTTATGAATCACCAACAAAAATACGCACACTATAGCGAATTAGCAGTGACCGGTCATAAGCATATATAGCATGCCTATGTGTGTGTGGAGATTATATAGCATCGAGTAAGAATTCAAATCTACGAAGACATGCACATACCCCTGCGGTGAGCCTCTGGCAATTGTCTCTGGTGCGGTTGAAGAGGAGGTTGCGATTGCGGTCAATTGAATCCCGCGCGGCAACGATGCCGTATACATCGAGCGGCCAATCCAGGCTATCATCTAATTGCGTCACCTTCACCGAGAAGACGACCACGGCATTAGCATAACCGACGCCGGCAAAGGGCGGTGGCGGCTCGTCGGTGTATCGCATTGGCTTTATGGACGCTGCACAATCGAAATTCAGGTTAGCAATTCGTCCATGATTTGATGATAAATCCTAGTCATATGCGGAATCGAAGAAGAAGAAGAAGAAGAGGGATCGAGATGGCTTGGATCAGAGGAGTGAGGATCGGAGACGGATGCTTACTGGCTTCCTCGTAGGAGCCGCATAAGCTGGAGAAGGTCGAAATCCAGCTGTCGCGGTACCGCATCGCCACGGCGGCCTCCTCGTCCTCACGTTCCGCCGCGTCCGCCGCCGCGTCCGCCGCCGCCTCTGCGGCCACCTGCGCGCGGCGTTTCTCCTCGGTCGCCTCCAGCAGCAGGCGGCGCTTCCTCGTCCACTTGTCCTCGCGGTTCCCCCTCGCGGCTCTCCACTGCCTGCGGTTCATCCGCGGCGGCGCCTTCGCTTCTTCTGCCTCCGCCTCCATCCACGCCGGCGGAGGAAAAGCAGGTCGGGTGGGGCGGCGGAGTCGGGGGAAGTTGGTGCACGGATAGGGCCAGAAGCGCTGGTCCGATAAACTCTTCGATAGCCGTAAATTGGCCCATTAATAAATTCGCCGATCAGGTCAACGGGCCTGCGGCCCAAGTAGCGTCAAGGAAGTCCAAACATGAGGCTGGTCACAATGGGTAAGAACATAAGCTAAGCTAGTAACTTACACACTTCCCTAGACTATATTACTACCTCCATAGTAGGTAGGAACATCTATGTAGTGTCATGCAACGATGTATTTATTAGGTTATAGACTCATTATTTCTTGGAGTGTGTGATGTTCCGGTAACTTAGCTAGTTACCACAAGCACCTCTCTCTTCATTAAATACGTGCCACATAAGCAAAGTTGTATTGGAGTGTGTGATGTTACTCCTAAGTTCCTCCCCACTGTGACCGGCCTGAAAGGCCTTGAAAATCAAGTCCAACTTCTTAGGACTTCTCAAAATCCACGACAAAATGTCAAGACCCCTGTCAGTCCGCCTCCCAAGAGTAATTCGAAGAGAGTCAAGGCTACCAATGGGAAGGCTGGAACCAGTATGGCAGCAAAACAAAATTTGGCGGGCCCCAATGATGGGCGTCGCCGGGACCAATGAGTATCATAGCGTGAAACTGACTCGGTGCAGGCAAACCCACAGTTTGTGAGCTTTGCGATATGGCGAAGCAGTTTGCCCCTCTATTTTATGTAGGACGCGTCTAGCGAGTGGCAGGGTGCTCGCTAGCGCTCGCGAGCGGCCGGCCAGAAAAGGTAAGCGCCCGTCTCCCTGGTCCAGGAAGGAAAGACCCTTCTGGGCCAACTGTTCCCCACGCGCGAACAAAGGAAAAGTAGGATCCCCCCACCACCCGTCGTTGTCACGTGATACTCATCAACTCCCAGCGCCTCCCACGCCCCCTCACCCACCCTTTCTCCACCGCTGGTCGCCAGCTTCTTCCCAATGAAAGAAAACAGATTCAAGGCCATGAACTAGATCCTGTAGACACTGGCGGAGCTACTCACGCGCAAAACCGTGCCATGGCCCGCCCGACAAATCAGCAAAAAAAATTTATATACTACATATGCCCATTGCCAGTCCACGTGGATAGCAGCCCAAACGCCCGGTTCAATAGACCAGCACAACCAAACCCACAGGGCATTGCCGCCTGCCAACGGGGGAGGTTCAGCAGCTTTGGGTAGCTACAGCTAGTCAGCTAGCGGAAACTCTGACCCATCCCAGCATCCAACTTTTTGCGCTTTTCATTAGCTTGGCCCGCCCAGTTTTTTATTTGTAGCTCCGCCACTGCCTGTAGAGCTGCCATGGCAAAGCAGCCAAGCTGAGGAGATATGGGTCAGAAAACAGGAAGAAGAGAAGAGAAGCTTACCAGGCAACGCCATTAGGTAAGAAATCCTTCTCCTCTCCCATATCAAAACCTTGTTGCCTATCCCCTTGCCTTTCCCTCTCAATCTCCCAAATCAAGTAAAAAACTCCATGATTTTGAGGGGAGAAGGAAGTAAAAGCACAGAAAATATGTGGATATGATATGTGCATAAGTAATTCACTTCCCTGTGCAAGAAAACCATGGTTTGGAACCAACTTTCAGCTGGATGTGTGCAAACAAACACACCCAGGGGTGAAAAATGCATCTTAGCAGGAAAAAAAACTTGATGTAGTCCTCTGTGCAACTAAACATGGTTTAATAGCCAACTTTCCCTTGGATGTGTGCAACAAGCACACAGAGGGATGAGTGCAAATACCATGCATTATAGCCAACTAAAACATGTATTTTAGCCAACTCAACATGCATTGTAGCCAAAACTAAACATGCATTCTACCAATTTGTACTTGTTATTTGCAAATGAACACATTAAAAACTATAGTATCTGTGCAACGAAAAATGCATAAATGTGCAACTGAACATGCATTCGAGCCAACTGAACCTGTATTCTGGCCAACTCAGCATGCATGCTAGCCAAACTAAAACATGCATACTACCCAACTTGTATTGGATGTTTGGGAGTGAACACATTAGAAAACCTGTAGTATATGTGTAACAAAAAATGGATAATTGTGCAACTGAATATGGATCCTAGCCAACTGAACAAGGATTCTAGCCAACTGAACATGCATATTAGCAAACTTAACTTGCATTCTTGCCAACTTTGTAGCTGGATGTTTGCAAATAAGAACAATAAAAATCTATAGTACAACAACAAAACCACGAAGACCTTTTGTGAAAACCAAACAAAGATCCCTTACAACTTCTCAAGCAATGTGTGCAAATAGAAAGAACAAACCAGGCTAATGAAAGCACAAACCATAGTAATTGTCACGCATATATTCTTGTCCCACACATATTGCAAAGCTTTAGTGGAAAATATTTTCAATATACTAGAAGTAAAAACAGAAAAGGCGATGAAAACTATATCTATATTCTGTCATCCAGATCTTCTATATTCTTGCATCTGGATTTTTCATCTCCATTGTAGCATCAAATCATGTCCAAATTATGTGTAGAAAAATCTAAAACAACTCATTGCCAAAAGCAAACCTGCACATCATTACAATAACAAAGAAAAAAGTGAGAAAACAACGAGGTAAAAAAGTCATGTTGTTTATCTGTGCAACCTATTTACTGCAAAATGTGCAACTTGAAGGAAATATGCCCTAGAGGCAATAATAAAGTTGTTATTTATATTTTCTTATATCATGATAATTGTTTATTATTCATGCTAGAATTGTATTAACCGGAAACTTAGTACATGTGTGAATACATAGACAAAACAAAGTGTCCCTACACTAGTAGAAAAACACCTAATAGACCCGGTTCGTAAGGGCCTTTAGTCCCGGTTCATGAACCGGGACTAATGGGTCGTTACTAATATCTCCACCCATTAGTCCCGGTTCAAACAAGAACCGGGACCAATGTGCCTCCACGTGGCCCTGTGCGCCGAGCCCAGTCAGGGGGGCTTTGGTCCCGGTTGGTGGCTCCAACCGGGACCAAAAGGCATCCACGCGTCAGCGTTCCAGTGGCTGGGGTTTTTGTTTTTTTGAAAGGAGGGGGGTTGGGGGTTTTGGGGGGTTAATTTAGGTGTTTCATATATTGTGTTAGCTAGCTAATTAATAGAGAGAAGTGTCCTCTCTTATGTCCGTGCTTGGTCGACGCTACATACTATATATACATAAGTGATCGAGAGAACCATTCAGTACAGAAGTTCATCATGCATACCAAGAGAAGTGATCGATCGACCTTTCCTTCTCCGAGAGATTGGTCGAACAACAAGTTTTCGTATCATGTATCCGACGCTACTGGCTACATACATGTACAATATGTATAAGATATCTTAATTACAAACCCCTAGCATTTGAAATCAATTTCCACATGGTATTCTCCGGCTTTACTGATGACGTGGTCAAGAAAGAATCCCGCCAATTCCTCTTGAATTCCTTTCATGCGATCTAGTTCTAGGAGTTCATCCCGCATCTGCCACGTCTAATTTGAAGAAGGGGGTTAATTAATACATATATATGAATGAAACTCAACAGAAATGATGGTGTAATAAAATGAAATTGTGAATATTATTGCTTACGCACTTCATATTGTCTTCTAGAGTAGCCCCGCTTGTTTTTCAAAGTTGCGGTGTGGATGAACTCGCACACGTAGTATCCAGAGAAATCATTCCCTTCCTCCTGCCACAAGCACTTTACGAGAAATAGAGGTCAATCAAACTAATAATGAAGCATTATAAATGGCATGGATGAAAGTATAGCTATAGAATCAACGGGAGATGTGCGCAACTAGCTAGCTAGTAGTACTTACTTTCGGGTATGTATATCGCAGCTCCTTCGGCAGTCCCGGAGCTTCTGCGGTGAACTGTTTCCAAACCCTGCAAGACAAATAAAATAATTATTATTACTTGAGATATCAGGAAATAAACAAAAAGTTGCCGATATGGTGCGATAATGATCGATTGAACTTACTTGCTGAGCATTTCAGTCATGTCCCCATAGGTTTCGGGATCTTTCCGTCTCGAGTCTAAGACGGTTACTAGTCCACGCTCAAGCTTAATCTCCAGAAGAATATAGTGGTACCTGCGCACGCGTGCATAACTCATCAATTACATTATACTATAACCTCTCTCGAGTAATAAGGGAAACCAAATATGCACACGACAGTAACACTCACTTGCCGTTGTAAGGAAAGAGTATGGTATCTTTGTTTTGATTTTTGATCAACGATTGTAGCAAGTTGTCCTCGGCCTCTTTGACGTTCTTTTCAACCAGAAATACATCTATGATATTTGTGTTAATGAACCCAATATCATAAATTTCTTGTTTTTTGCACTCGACGATCTTCAATCTGCATAATATATTGAGGATAATTAATTATAAATACATGCAATGAAAGAGCCGAGCTATATATAGAGACTTAATGACAGAAATAGTACTTACAGGCAGTAGCAAAAGACCATTAATTTATCGAGGGCCTTTTGATTGAAGAACGCGAAGAACTCATCAAATGGAACACACAACAGATCATTTGAAACGAGGTTGTGCTCCTCTTTAATGTTCAGATACAAACTATTCGTCCCCTCAAACTCTCTGCAGGTTTTCATGTACCAACTATGGAATCTTCGCATCATTGTTGTCAGAGATTTTTCATCTTTGACGAGAGGCTTCCCATACTCGTATCTGTGTTCGTCCACCTCCGCGAAATCAGGAAGTGCATCGTCAGGCAGGTAATCTTCAAGATTGCCATAACCGGCCACCGTCCCCGGAGCATTAGACACATTGAGCGGGGGCACGATTGCTGTGCTTGTTCGCCGAGCTGGGCAATTTTCCCCCCTTTGCTTGTTCTTTTAACCTTTTACCACTGACAGTAGTTCCCGACCTCTTGGCTTGGAGATATGTCTGTTCAGTAATGCGCTCATAGTTGATTCTCGGCGAAGACTTTGGTGGTTTCCT